ATTTGTCTCCCTTTAACTGACGAGTGTTGCTGTTTTGAGATAAGCTTAGGAAGAAGATCTCCCAATCTCTTCAACATCACTTTATTGATCAGTTTATTGATGCTCCCAATCAGATTGATTGGCAGTAAATCCTTGATCTCTTCAACCACGTCTTTCTTTGGTGCCAAGCAAACAAAAGAATGAGTGACACACTTCGGGAGGGCACCCGTTTCGTGGAACTCCTGAAAGACCTTCAATACTTCACCTTTCAGCCATCCCCAACAACGTTAGTAGAATTCCAATGTAAACCCGTCAGGACCCGGGGCCTTGTTGCCATCACAATCCCTCAACGCCTTCCAAATCTCCTCCTCAGTAAAAGATCGGCACAGAAGACACCTATCCATGTCGTCGAGTTGTTGGTCCCAGACCCATCTAGGAAAAGGCCGAATAACCATATCTTCTTTGAAAAGATTTTGATAGAACTGAACAATACCAGTAGCAACCCCAACCGAATCTTCCACCGTCCGCCCCTCTATCTTAATCCTCTCCACTCTGTTGACCTTACGTTTGTAGTTCCCCATCTGATGGAAATATCCAGTGTTCTTATCCCCTAACTTGACCCAAACTTCTCTAGATTTTTGCCTCCAGCAAATCTCCTGGAGAAAAATATCCTTCTTCAGGTCAAGTTCCAGCTTTGCTCTTTCTTCTTTTTCACACTCTTGCATAATTATTTCTTCTTCGGCCATTTCCATCTCCTTGATTTTTCTAAGCATATCCTCCACCCTTTTATCAATATTTCCAAATACCTCTTTATTCCAAACCTTCAACTTAGTTTTAATATAGTGCAGCTTCCTAGCAAACAAGAAAACAGCTACTATCCCCTGAACATTCTCTCCCAACCAGTTACCTAGTTCTTGATAGAATCTTGGATCTTCTAGCCACATATTCTGAAAATGCCATGGCCTTTTGACTTGCTTGTTCTCCCCCCACTTCAGAACTAGTAAATTATGATCTGATTCGATTCTCTCCATAGCCTTCAAAGAGCAGTCTGGGTACGTACGATCGAACTCCTGAGAGATCAGCACTCTATCAATCCTAGAGAGTGACCTACTATTCGAACCATGGCTCCAAGTATACTTGCAACCACCAAGAGGAAGATCCATGAGACCGTTGCTATCAATGAAGGTTAGGTCGGGGTGTCTATACTCATTCCCGTCACTTTTTCTGTCGATATACTTTCATATTCGCCTCATATCTAGTCAATTAAACAGCTTTACTCGTTAATTAGATTAATGAGAGTCCGATACTTACAATTGTGGATAAAATAATCATCTTTTCATGTATGCTGTATTTTTCACGCAATTTCATCAGTAAATTATGCAAATGTATATTTATTCACAAACACATAACATATTTGTTTACGTACTCTTGTCAATCTCATATAATAATTAACGAAATTTTCCCCTATTATAATCCCCAATCATGCATTCTCATTAACCGTTGCTCATTTTGTATTTGGTGAAATTGATTTTTTTTCCTTCTTAGTGTAAATTTTCTTGTCATAATTACTGCTCTTGCTGTATAAGATGGTCGAAGCATTGTCCCCTTCCCTGGCGATAAGGCTTTTTTGGACGACGTTTCTATTCACTGTCAGTCAGATTCTTTAATTATCCTCGGCCCGCAGAGAATCACCCACATGCTCTGACCCAATTTCAATTATTAGGGTTCATGGGTACAGCCTAGCAATGAGGATCCAATCATTTGTTTGGGGAGCTGATGATGGCAGTGGATCTAAGATCCAATTCAACTATGGCATGCTAATGTGGTCAGCGGCGGCTCTTTTGTCTATGATTTGTGTGGCAATGGAAAGAAAAGTGACACATTTTATCACTAGCTTATAACTCGGTCCGTTGGCCGGAATGTTCATATTTTTATATTTATATTTTTATATTATGTTTAAGTCTATTAATTCATTTAAGTTTATTAAAAATTATTCAATCGAGATGCTACATAAAAAATGAATATATAGGTTGAACATTCAGGGAAATACCCTCCTCATTTAAAAATATAAAAATATATCATTAATCCCATTTTCATAATGATAATTGAGCCCCCATTAAAATGATATTGGTTAATAGATTGTCCATAAATATATAATATAAAAGCTCATTGAAATTACCACACGATCCATAGATAATTTGAAACTGAAATGAAACCTCACAATCTCACCTAAATGGTTCAAAGCTCCCATCTATGAATAACATGCCACTAATAAAAAAGAAATGAATTTATAAAAAAAAAACAGAAATGAAGAGTTGTTGATTCAAGTAAATCATATGCTAACAACTCAACTAAAAGGAGACCATCAAAACTTGAGAGCAAATGACAAAATTAGAGTTACATCCAATATACTAATAGACTCGATCAAAGTAATGAGGCACAAAATTAGACACTCCTTATCTACAGGTTTCAGTAGTTTGAATAGTGAATCAACCTTAACTTTAATAAATCAATCAATGATTCCTCGTTTTAACATAAACATAGGTTGTGGTAGTTGCAACAACCATAACACCTAAAGATCCAATAGTTTCCACTCTCCGTTGTACAACCAACTTTTTATCCCCTCCATCTTCAATCTCTCGACTTATATGTTTTAAACCAAAATTCAATTTCTAATCCTCCTTCTACAGCTCCATTTATGCTACTTTGATGGACCTTCTCTCCATGAACTTGAATTTCTCTTTCAATTGAGTTTCTTGTCAGCTTGATCTCCAACTCTTCAATCCTCTTTCTTGTATTTGGCCAACTCATCTTACTCGGGGCAGTTTTAATAAGCTCGTAAAACCAACACTAATCTTCAATTCCATCAATATGCTCTTCTCCTCCTTCTCTGCTTTCACCTGACCAAGTTCACTTCCATGCCCTTCAATACCCTCTCCATTTTCATTAATATCATGACCATCTACCACTTCTCTCTCTTCAACTGCTCCGATTTTGCTTCTATGTCTTTCAATACCCTCCTTGGTTCAATGACTACCCTGACCAACTGCCTCTTCACTGCCTTCACTTGCTGCAAACTACTTCCATGATTTTTTATACACCTTCCTCAAAATCACAATCAACTAACCAATATCAATCCATGGCCTTGGATCAGTTTTAAACTCTCTATGAACATCTCAATACCACAAAGTCTAAATCTAAATATTCTTTCAGTTAATCATGAACTTGAGTTTATCAAAAATCTAATCCACTCTTTCTAAGTTGGAATTCTCATCCCCAAACTCATTTTTGGTTCATTTGATCCCACATAACCATGATATTACACCTCTAACTAAAATAAATCAAAGCATTTTACGAAAAGAAACCGAACCATGAACTTTACCTGCTACCAAATCCAAACACAATTTCTTCCTCTCACCACTTCCCTTCCCAAACCCAATATCAACTTTTACTGCAAGTTCACACCCCCAACTCCCAGTGTGTTGCGTGAAAACTTAATTTTAGCAATCATTATGCTTGCAATTAGATTAATGGACACCAGCAAGCGCCAAAATTCCACCAGACGATGAGTTGTCTTCACTTTGAGTTTTGTCATAAAACTGCTGGCCCGATATGTTTATCCGTTTGGAGGCCATATGATGAGCAATACTGAATCAGTTGCAGTGAAGTTACCGGTCACAGTAATGATAATGTGAAACATGTGTTAACAAACGCGAATATGGGTTACTTTTATGGATTGGCATTAGAATGATCGAATTGGACAATGAGATCGTCCTTAGTTAAGCGACATGTAAATTGGTTCATTTGGTATGGAGGACACAAATCGTTAAAATTTTAAATTATTTGGGTGAGTTTGTATTTAGTGTTTGTCAAAATCGTGGTATATGAGTTAGGTGATTAAAATATATAAACTCAAACGAACCGACCCACGTACACCCCTAGAAAGAGTTTCATAACTTAGTATTTAACCGGACAGAAGTGTTCAGAGAACCAGACCCCTATAGTCTGCACAAAGATATGATTGTTTCACTATAGTTCTAGAAATTAATGGTAATTTAAGAATTCTATATCGCTTCTACATATTCAATACTATAATTCGATATGAAATATTCGAACCAACAATATTTTGGTTGCAAATTTATGGTTATCGTCTATTAGTAAGATACAAGGTTCTAAAAGGCGCTAGGCGTAAGGCAGGCGCTCAGCTCCTGACTTGCGCCTTGCCTGATTAGGCGTAGCCTAGGCGCGCCTAGGCGTTCAGAGCATACACTACAAAAAAAACAGGCAGAAGTGACGAGATCCTTCTGACGACACTGTTTTATGGTTGGAAATAACCTTTTTTGTAACAAAAATTTGTCGTCCTCATTAAAACATAAAATATTTGTGACGAAAACCAAAAGTCGTCAATAATGTCCAAAACATTCGTCACAAAAAGTCAATTTCGCAAATATGAGGACCGCCAACTCACTTTTACTGAGGACTTTTCAACTTTTGTCACAAATACAAATTATTTATGACCAAATTGAATTATGCATAAGAAATAATATGTTTTTCTGACGCCGAAAAGGAGGGAGAAATTCATGAATTTTATTTTTGAGGACACTAATTTTTCCTCAGAAAATGTTGTTGAAAATAGTATTATTTGTTAGAAATTTTCCTATCTCTCAGAAAAACAAACCTTTTTATGAGGGAACGTATTTGGTCGTCGATAAAAGTTTTTTAGAAAAGTGGTTGCACAAATGGCCATCACAAATGATTATTTCGTTGAAAAAACTTCGTGAGAAAAATACTTTCTGTGAAGAATTTATATGTCGTCAATAATATGCAAACAATGTCGTCACATATATAACATCATTGACAAATTTCGCTTGTGAGAAAATTTTTGTTACATATGAACAAATTCTTAGTTTAAGAGTTGAAATTAAAAATAACCTTAAAGAGAAAGTCATGGATGTACTCAAACCATGGGATCTCTTGTTCACAAAACAAAGTCCAGACCATTTAGACTGATTACGTTTTATGTTAAATTCATATTTCGTTGAGTATTTATTTCTAACAAAAATCTATAAGCAACAGAGAGCTCTCTAGCTTCTCTGCAAATTCATTCCCATTCTTCCTCTGCAATAAAAGAAGGAAGTCGAGCAGATTCATTTCCTTTTTTCCTCTGCAATAAACGAAGGAGGTCCAGCAGATTCATTCCCTTTCTTCCTCTGCAATAAACGAAGAAAGTCCAAAGAAATTGATATAGGGAAACGAAGAAAGGGGGAAGATAGAATCGAAACAATCCTTGATCACAAACCAAAGTCCAAAGACGATGGCTTTGTCCTATAATTTTAGGTGTCGCAACTGCCCCTTGAGACCGAGATGTGGTCTGTGAAATTTTAGAGATTTGGTTCGGGAGTACGGTTATGTGTGGGGAAGTGTATGCACACCCCACAACGCCCAAAGATTCGTACTACTTTAAATCGATAAGTTTTTAAGGGTCAGGTGTATTATAATTTGCGCTTGATTTATGTATTTAATTATATGATTCGATTAATTATGTGTTTATTATTAAGATTCAATCATAGGTCTATTGACGTGAATCTCGAAGGTACATAATTAAAGATTTTTTGGATTAGTTGGACTCGAACCTATTGGTTGCCTATTACTCGAGTAGTCGGGATCAAAGTCCACGTAGTTCGACCATTTTGAGTGATATTGAAAGAAGAAACCTAACACATATTATTGCTTCATGATTTTGAGATCGAGAAAATAATTTTCATATGTGGATTTGTTAATCGAGCTATCAATAATTTTGAATACGCTTCGTCACAATATTACGATCTATTGATCATAATTTTGTATTAAGGAACATTTAGGAAATAAACTAAAATGAAGTTGTCAAATTAGCAAGTATTAATCGTGTTGCCCAATTGGCTACGCATGTAATCTCGAATGTGTTTGAACTTAGCTTACCGATTCATGGAGCGAGAGGGAAAGCGGGAGTAGGAGCGAGAGCGTGAAAGTGTTTATTATTAAGAATTAGATATTAAGAACGTAAACAAGTGTTAATATTATATTATTATTATTAAAATATTATTAAATATACTAAAATAGAAGATACAATACTAACATAACTCCGAGAAAATATTTTGAAATGGAAAGTTCTACAATATTAATTACTGATCAAGACAATTAAAATAGCAAAATTGGGCCAGTAAAAAGATGTTTCAAATAAGAATTTTTAATGTTTAAGCTAACAGTCAAGTACAATACTTCAATTATTTATATAATGCATTATACACTATGAATTTTAGCCTTTTAGGTCCATATGAACTGTTAACTTTGGCCAATTGAGTGGAGTCTTCAAGTAAAATTTAATATTCTAATATCATCATGACCGTTGACATACAATTGATTGAGATCTAAGATATATCATAATAGAATTTTTAATTTTTAGATCTTAACAAAAATATGTATTAAGTGTATTTTAACCAGCCAAACAAAATATAATTGTATAGAATTTTGGAGGAGGGACAGTTGTTTTTAGCTAATTAACCCTTCATTTCGAGGAGGGACACTTGGACAAACGTATTTACACAAAAGCATGCAAAGGAAAAAAGTAGACATTTGCAAATGAGACAAAAATATAACGGGTAAAGGGAAAGAAAAGGATTTTTTATTTTTATATTGAGAAATGCGTAAAGGAAAAAAAGAAGAAGAAGGAAAGAATTTCAAACGGAAGCGCTGGTTTTGGGAAAACGTTTTGTTTTCTTTAGATAGATTAGATTTAAATTAATTTGTTTGGGGGAAAATACTAAAAAGTCATCGCCACTCCCAACAAAGTTTTAACCAAATGAAACCCTAATCTCACTTATCTAAGCTAGCGGCCGCCTCTCCTCCTCTCTTCTTCCCTTCTATCTCGTCTCTACTCTTCTCTCTGGAAACCAACGAAACAGAGAAAGAAAAATCGTACCATCCTTTTAATCTCATACCTTTTCGTCAGCCTCCCCGATCTCTCACTCAATCTACCGTATTCCTCTCTCTTTCTTTTGGAAATCGATGAGAAGGAACAAAATGGAAGGCAACGGTGTCGAGGATGACGACGGAGATCGACAACGGCAGAGGTGACCATGAAGGCGCCGGAGGTTGAAAGTCAGTCTTGTCTCCAATTGCATGTTGATTTTAGGGGATTTCCTACGATTTTTGGTTCCATTTAGGGATTCTGATCTGCCTCTTGTTTTTTTGTTTATGGTTTGTGAGAGGGGAAGAAAGGGAGCCACCGCCGGCAACCTCAGATTTCGTCGGGGGCGCCGACAAAGCAGAAGGGGGTTAGAAACTCTTTTGGTAAGATATATAGGGTTTTATTTGAAATTCTGTTTGAGACTATAACTTCGATTTTTCCTTGTTTGGTGTAGGTTATTCAGATTCGACGCAATCGATTTGGTAAAGTTCTTCCTTCATTGCCTTTGAATTTTTTTTGTTGCTCTCAATTTCCCTTCCTTCTCTGTCGCCATGGATCCATCTCTTTCCGACTAATTATCGGCACCTCAAGTTCCCCAGTTAATTGTCGGCACCTCAAGTTCCCCACGCAATCGATTTGGTAACGTTCTTCCTCCATTGTTGTCTTACTCGCTTTTCCTATGGATTCTGACTTATTGTTTCTTTTGTCCTCGGAAACAGGCGCCACAAGATGAATCTCGATGAAGATGATTTGATCGAGGATAGGGTGGTGGTTGGCCATTGAAGAAGGAGAAAGAAATCGCAAATGGCAGCGGCAGTGGATGGGAGAGGAAGGGACAGAGTTATGTTCTTTTTTTATTAATAATGTGTTCTGATTTTGTTAATAAATGTATATAGTAAGTTGTGAACAATAATTGCAATTGAATAATATTTTGTTGATTTTTTAATATATGATCATTTATTTTGTTGTTGGGAAATGTATAGATAATAATTACATTTTCAGGTATTAAATGTATTTATCTATAATAGATAAATTATTAAATGTATTTTTGTCATTTTCTTCGTCATGATTGTTTTCATTTCTGATGTCGTTCTCTAGTGATCCAACGAAACCAATGCGTCGGTAATAATTTCATTTATGAGTTCTCCATTCACGAGGACTTTTACTCGTTAGAAATAACAATAGGGTATTTTGGGAACAAATTTTTTGTACCTAATTATACAACCTTTTCTGACAATAAACAAGTTGTCACAGAAACACATAAGGGTATTTTGGGATGGAAATTCCAAAGTGTTATTAACAAAAAAAATATTTTTGCTTACAAAAAAATATTCTCAGAAATACTTAAACTGACAAAATAATTTTCTTAAAAAAAGTTTTTCCTCTCTCACAAAAACTTTTCGTCAAGTTACTTTCCTCAAGGGTATTTCTTTTCTGACAACGATAAATTGAATTTTGAGGATAATTTACCCTCATAAAAAATGTTTTTATGACGACTATTTTTTTTAGACTATTACCTACGGACCTTTACCCCACGACCCGCTAACGACCGTATTTCATCAGAATAAACTTTTAGTGACGAGAAAAGGCTTTTTGTGACACCAATCGTCTGGTAACATCTGCCCGTCTTTTTTGTAGTGATAAATGAAAAAAGTTCTCAAATATTTCCTGTTTTCTGGAATAATTCATATAATCCTAGTGCATATAAAATTAGCAATGCCTAGTTCTTAACAGTAAACACTTAACATAACAAATAACAAGCAAATAGTGACCACTTCCTAGAATCACAAGTTCATAAAATGTCGAAATACTAAACAATAGTCAATAAGTTCATAGGAAAATGTTCATTCTTCATCATCCAAGTAGGTCCGTCCAGCCACCACTTCATCTTCATCATCCTTAAAAGCAATCTCCTCACCATCCTCCTCCTCTTCCTCCTCTTCAGACTCTAATTATTCATCATGGAGCTCTCTCACTCGTGCACTCCTGCGAAGCTCACTCTGTTCATCCGCCATTGCATCTGTAACAGTACTCGAGGGTGCAATATATGATTCCTCATCCTCATCTATGAATACATACATAGCATGGTCATCCCCTTCCCGTGTTTCTGATTTTCTAGGGCAAGAGGCAATTTTCTGATTTTCTAGGACAAAACGAAGAGTATTGGGTTTAATCGCTTAAGCTCGCACAGGAACGCCCAGGCACGCCTTCTCTCCACTAGGCGCAAACTAAGCGCTATTCCTACCTACTAAGCGCTACCAGCGCCTTTTATAACGCCTATGGCCAAGTCAAGGCGATCCTCCACCGCCTAGCGCCTAATTGAGCCTAGGCGTGCGCCTAGGCGCGCCTTCTTGAACCCTGGTAAGATAGATAAAATTTTAAATTAAGTATTAAACTATAATTAAAATAAAAATATCAAAATCGAAGCATCAAAACACCAAATAAGTACTTACGAAATATTTATTGGGCTAGCTAACTGTTGAAAAGTCTTGTGATTTCATATTTTAGCTTCGTATATATTTTTAATTTTAAAAAATACAACAAATCTACATAGTCTGATTGATTTTAAACCTTCACTTTGTTTGAAGTGACTATGGTTCAAATCTCAATATGTCTATATTTTTCTGTAAATAAATAAAAGATACAGATAATTGTGAAGAAAAAAATGTACTTCCTAATTTTCCTCTCATTGCAGGATATTTGAAAAGGGAGATTAAGTTTCAAATAATAAAATCATATACCCTAAATCTATAGAACTTGAACCCTATATCACATATACTAAGAACATATCAATGATTCTGATTCGCCAAGATGTATACAACATACCATATGCACTATATTAGGATTTAGAGAATTATGATATAGGGTTCAGTTACGTGATTAATCTATAGTCTAGATAATGTTATTTAACTAAGGAGATGCAATAACCTTCAATCCATCGAGCGTACCATAGAATTTCCAATGTATATACACATACCATTGTTTGTTAAATTTAGCCAATGATAATTGGCTCATTTATCAATGGTATTTAGTCTTTCAATTCTATGCTTATAATTGTCAACCATTAGGAAAATTGTTAGCCAATGATTTTTGGTCATTCACTTATAGTATTGAAAATGTCTCGTTACAAAACCATAAATCACAAATGTCAAATTTTATGTTTTGAAATTAAATTTTTGATTCATAAAAATGTACTACTTGATTCTTGGTGAAGAATTGTGTGATTAGAGGAACTCACTTAGTTGATTCATAAAACTAGGTATATCATGATGATTCACTTTGTAAATAATTACAGTTATTAATTAATTCGATGATTGATTGTTGCGGTGGATAGTCCTATGATTTTGAGATATTTCAGTATTTTCTCTCTTTAATTCAAGAAATACATAAAAATTGTTGTAGTCCAGTTAGTTAGGGATGTTGACTATCAATTTGAAGGACTCACGTTCAAGTCTTTGTAAAGATATTTTTTTATCTCGAAAGAAGATATTTAAGTTCTAAATTAAACTTACAAATTTACCCTTAGCTATAATTAAGAAGAGTGCAAGGAAAATAGGTCACATTCCATCGTCCGAACGACGAGCTATATAGGCAAAAAGTACTTGCTCTGCAGTTGAAAGCTGCAGCAACCTATCAACTGAACAAAGAAATTTCTCGACGGCAAGAAGTTTATTACTTAGTCAAGTACAGACTACAGTGACACCATTCCCTCCCATATGTATATGGGAATTGGGAATGGGGCAAGGCTCTCTCTTGTTCCAACCCTTTCCAATCATCAACACACAACAACAGCATATATACAACACACACTAACTGGAAGAACCAAACAACAGAAAAGTAAACAGGCACAAGAACACTCTTTTCCACATTTTCCTGCTTCCCACTGTAAAAACTAAAGCTAATCACAAAGGTAACCATCTTACTTGCAACCCTGTTATCTACTGCTTTCTGTCACGCCTGCACTACTACCACCTTCCTGCTCCAGCCCCGAGTTTTGTTTCTTCTTTCTAGTAAACAACAGCCTCCTAGTATTACCTGATGAGCTCCCATATTCACAACGTTACAACTATTAGATTCAAGGATGCAGAAAAGCCAAACGCCGCACCTGCAGCAGAACAGTTGAAAATCCCCAGGTTAAGCGACTTACAATCATAACAAATACAGATAACAAGGCAAAGCGAAAGGTGTTACCTTTTTCACAGATTGCTATGGCTTTAGCTCAGAGGAGGGACTCTGGCTCAGAACCAGAAACAGAAGCAAACGATATGGTATCTTCCTTTGTTATGGATACAAAGTTCAATGGGGCAGTAGATAGCCTCCTCATTTCCTTGAAATACCCGTTACTCCGTCCAGAATAAGATCGTGGAGTGAGGGGTTCAGGTGTTCCACACACAGAGTTACGTCGTGGTGTTGGAGTCATCGACCCATTCCCGTGGTAACCATTTGGCTTCCTGAAGCTGTTTGTCTTTCGTGGGCTTGGTTTAGACCCGTACATCAGTTCCTTCTCTGTCAGCAACAAATCTTGGAGCTTCTTTTGGTCCTTCAAAATGTGAAAACCAATTTGTCACACATTTGAAACATCAGCCATCGGATATTAGTTAAACTTAAACCTAAGGGGTCATTTGGGTTGTGGGGGAGGGGGAGATTGTGCACACAATGAGTCAACAAAGTTGTGCATAACAATCGCTGTTGGCCAACAAAAAGTTAGGGTGTCTAGTTGCAATGATATATTTGACAATATATCCAGAGAGGTATTGTAGAACGACTGGCCGGAGAGGTGGCTTACTGGCTTGGAAAATCCATTATCCTTTTCCCCTTTCTGTCAGTGTCTATTGGTGCAAAATAACTATCAGTGAATTATTTGGTATTTTCAACATTACTGATGCAATCAATCACCTATAATCTAATTGTAAGAACAGTAATCCAAACTTGATCTATTTCAAAAGCTACTGTATTATTCAATTTACCCATTTCAACAATCGACCTTCCAAACGAACCTTAGCAACAAAATCTTCTTTATCGCGAGTAAATCTAGTGCTGGGGTAGTAGGCTGGTCCTTCATTTTAGAAAATTGTTTAAGATACCAGTCAAAATGGACAATACTATAGCTTCAGTTTAATCTGTAGGATAGTAGGAGCAAAAGTCCATAAAATCAACTGAAACTATTACCCGGAATCTCCGTTTCTCCTCTTCTCTATGCTGTCTCGTCATTTTGTAGTCCTCTAGTATCGACACCAATCTTACCTGTAGAGAATGTATCATCAAGATAAATGTTCCATTAGTCAAGGAGCAATCACTTAGGCACCATAACATCAAATAAAACATAGCAACAGATCGACGACTCACCCCATCGTAAAGGAACAGCATTTGCCTTTCATCTTCCCAGACCAAGGTTTTATTAATCAGGTTGTCAACCATCACTGGAGAAATGTGCATATTATCAGCTTTGTGCCATTGTTGGACCACTAAAAAAAATGTCAGTTATTCAGAATTATGATACCTGGAATTTTGTTCACAGTGATTCGAGCTTTCTCTGCACGCTTTAGGTTAATGTGAGCACCTCTGCCAGCTGAATATCTGTTGTGATCCTGATAATCAAAAGAACTAGAGAAGTTAAAGATGAAATTGCGAGGACCAATACAAGAACAGACGAGATTATGCTCACCATGACATCAACAGATGACTAATACTGGTCACAAAAATCAACAGAAATGCTATATCGCCACTAGTGAATATATAGTTGAGCATTTTGCTTTAATATATGTTTATTTTTACATGGTACTTCAATTGGTATATATGGGATTATGGATTTTGCTTACCAGCTCATAATCTTCAAGCCAGTTTTCCTCTTCACATGCCAAAAGCCATCTGTCTAGTCTATCCATTATTTCTTTCCTACTCATACTTTGCTCCTTTGCTTTGGTTATCTGGGCATCAATGCTTGCCAAGAGTTCACCAGGATCGACTAAACCTGTG